GTCCTCACTGTGTCCCTGCTGTGTCCCTGCTGTGTCCCTACTGTGTCCCCACAGTGTCCCCACAGTGTCCCTACTGTGTCCCCACAATGTCCCTGCTGTGTCCCCAAAGTGTCCCTGATGTTTCCTCACAGTGTCCCTGCTGTGTCCCTACTGTGTCCCCACAGTGTCCCCGCAGTGTCCCTACTGTGTCCCCACAATGTCCCTGCTGTGTCCCCAAAGTGTCCCTGATGTTTCCTCACAGTGTCCCTGCTGTGTCCCTACTGTGTCCCCACAGTGTCCCCGCAGTGTCCCTACTGTGTCCCCACAATGTCCCTGCTGTGTCCCCAAAGTGTCCCTGCTGTGTCCCCACTGTGTCCCTGCAGTGTCCCCACAGTAACGCTGCTGTGTCCCTACAGTATCCCTCCAGTGTCCCCAAAGTGTCCCTGCTGTGTCCCTGCTGTGTCCCTGCTGTGTCCCCCAAAGTGTCCCCAAAGTGTCCCTGCTGTGTCCCTACTGTGTCCCCACAGTGTCCCCACAGTGTTCCTGCTATGTCCCTGCTCTGTCCCCACAGTGTCTCTATTGTGTCCCTGCTGTGGCCCTGCTGTGTCCCTTATGTGTCCCCACAGTGTCCCTGCTGTGTCCCTACTGTGTCCCTGCAGTGTCCCCACAGTAACGCTGCTGTGTCCCTACAGTGTCCCTCCAGTGTCCCCAAAGTGTCCCTGCTGTGTCCATGCTGTGTCCCTGCTGTGTCCCCAAAGTGTCCCCAAAGTGTCCCTGCTGTGTCCCTGCTGTGTCCCTGCTATGTGTCCCCGCAGTGTCCCTACTGTGTCCCCACAATGTCCATGCTGTGTCCCTCCAGTGTCCCCAAAGTGTCCCTGCTGTGTCCCTGCTGTGTCCCTGCTGTGTCCCCAAAGTGTCCCCAAAGTGTCCCTGCTGTGTCCCTGCTGTGTCCCTGCTGTGTCCCCAAAGTGTCCCCAAAGTGTCCCTGCTGTGTCCCTGCTGTGTCCCTGCTGTGTCCCCAAAGTGTCCCCAAAGTGTCCCTGCTGTGTCCCTGCTGTGTCCCTGCTGTGTCCCCAAAGTGTCCCCAAAGTGTCCCTGCTGTGTCCCCAAAGTGTCCCCAAAGTGTCCCTGCTGTGTCCATGC